GCCCCGCCCGTCCCGCACTCCCATTAGCAGGGCCAGGGTCTCCGCTGCCCTCTGATTGGTGGAAGTTCCATCCCTGATTTGCATAGGGCCCAAGGCCAGCGCCCCGCGTGCAGCGGAGAAGCGCAGCCCTGCCACACCCCGTGCTCTCGGGTTGCCTGGTGGCTGCCTGTGGCCACCGCTGGAGGTCGATTTGCAGGCTGCACACTCCTAGTTGCTCCCTAGAGAAAGAGAGGCCTGGCCTGGGTGCTCCTTCGGTCCCCTCCCGCCCAGCCATTCCCAGCTCGCTGCCCTGGCCAGGAACCCTCAGTTAAACCCTGGCCTGGTGGTGCAGGCTGTCATCCCAGCAGCAGGGGAGGCTGGGGCAGGAGGATCGCAAATTGGAGGCCAGCCTCAGCAATTTAGCAAGGCCCTAAGCAGCTCAGTGAGACTCTGCCTTCAATAATAAAATATTTTGAAAGGGCTGGGACCAGAGCCCCTGGGTTTCATCTCCAGGTGCCCAGCAGCCCCTTCCTCCGGCTGGGCAGGCGCACTGAGGGCTCAGGTTCATGGAATGAATGTTTGCACGTACTGTTAATAAGGGGAGGAAACAGTGATTCTTGCTTTCCTGGATCTAAAGATGTGGGTGGAGAATCGGAGGGTAAATACTCAACCAATCAGTTCTAAAGCCATCCAGCGTTTGCAGACAGAGCAGGTCACAAGGCTTGGGGACAGCTGCAGCACTGGTTCGGGAAGTCAGAGGGCAACAGCCCCATCCACCAGCCCAGGCACCCCGATGCCTGCTCTAGCCAAAGGCTGGGAAGCTTTGCACAGGTTTTGGGGGGCAGGGATGGCTTCCTGGCTGGACTCCATTCTCCCAGCGGGAAGGACAGGGTCTTGGCCTCTGTACCAGGACTCAGGTGGATTTTCAGCTGAAGAATTCCAACAACTTCCAAGTATCAAGAGTGAAAAGATTCCACAAGGGCATGTCCAGGATTCCAAGGGTTTTTTTGTAGATTGGTGCTTAGAAAGCCCCACGCGTAATCCCAGCGGCTTGAGAGGCTGAGGCAGGAGGATCACAAGTTGG